GCATTTGATATATTTCCCCAAATATTGTTGTTATAGAGTGCATATTACGGCTGCGGAGGACAAAAATAACAAATCGGATGAACAATATATATGGGAGCTATAGCTATATCTGAACCGATTTAATTCAAATTTGGCGTACTTATTCAGGCCTAATTTGGTTGTTTGTGCAAAATTTCATACTATTCGGGCTGATATTACACGTTTGGTGCACAATAAAAGGCAAATCGGACAAAGATGTATAGGGGAGCTATATCTAAATTTTTACCGATTATCTCCAATTTCAATAGGGTTCGTCCTTGGGCCAAACAAATGTTGTTTGCAAAGTTTCATCTCAATCGGATAATAAATGCGACCTGCATTTTGTTCACAAGAATACATGGACAGACGGACGGACGGACAGACGGGCGGACAGACGGACTGACATGCATAAATCAACTCAGAAAGTCATTCTTTGCAGATCATTAAAAGGAACTATGGGTCTATCTCGTTTCCTTTTGCCTGTTACAAACAAATGCACAAAGACATAAGACACCCTGACCACCTTGTGGTGTAGGGTATAAAAACATGGAACTTTATAAAACCTTTTTGCCAGTGGAAATAGCGGTTATTAGGAACGCCAAATACCAAATTTCGAACCAAATTTTTAAGAACAGTCAAACAAAGCTCCTCTCCTCTCCACCTTTATTCCCTCCACTATAGTATGGCGGGTATATTAAGATTGTCAATATACATTTAAGACCTCACAAATTCTTAATCAGCTTAAAATTCTATGTCGATTTAGCGATGTACGTCCGCCTGTCTGGTTGTCCACTCTAGATTCCAAACTTATTGAAGAAGGTTGATAAAATTTTACAAATATGTGTCTTTGGTCTACAGGACTTTTGGTATTGAAAATGGGCTATAGGTCCACGTGTGGTTATAGCCCCCATAAACCTTTCCATCCCTATATTCGGTATTTAGATGATTTTAGCGACATTATTCAACGGAATTGTTTCAAATTTCGTATTTGAAGTTTCTAGTAGGTACTACAGTCTATGACAGATAATTTTCATTGCAGGTCTAGGTCTTCGTATATATCTATACCTCCCTATATTCGGTATTTTGACGATTTTAGGTACAAAATTCAACGCAATTGTTTCAAATTTCATATTTGCACTTCGTAATGGGTACTACATTCTATGACAGAAAATTGTCTATGCAGTTCCAGGTCAACCCATAAATATCGGTATTTTGATGATTGTAGCGACGTTATTCTCTGGAATTGCTTCAAATTTCGTATTTAACCTTTCTCATGTGTACTACAGCCTGTGACAGAAAATTGCTTATGTAGGCCCACGTCTTCATATAGACCTCAAAATAACTTTAAATCTCTGTATTCGGATTTCTTGAGATTTTAAAAGCATTTTTAATGGATTTTATTTTTATTTATTTATTTTTATTCTGATTTTGCAAAGCTCAATTTTGCATAGGTTTAGAGTTTAAAACAGGGCAGAAGCCTTCCAATTTGGATTGTCATGGTAATATATTTAGAGGATGAAATTGATCTAATTTTGTGTAAAAAATGCAAATATTTCCAATAAACCTCGAGTATTTTTAGCCCAGAATATTTTTAATCGAAATCACAAATACCCAAACAGATCACTTCTGACCGTTACATGATGCTAATAGGAAATATATTGGATACATGTCAAAATATATAAAATCAATTCATATAAAATGCATTTTAGTTACTATGCTTATAACTGAAGAACGACTGGAGTGAGTTTGATAATTCTAATTCAATAATTTCGAAAGGCCTCTCGACAGAAAAAGATAATATCAAAAAATCGCATGAAAATATTCCATTAAGAAGTGGATATTTTTTGCATTTTGTGTTATTATTTGTCATTTCTCAGTTTCAGACTTAAAATAAAGAATTGTTTTTTTGCATTATTGTTTTTTTCATTTTTTATTTGATAGGATTATTACTTATATACTGGTAGTAATTTCCGATCCTCACCAAATTTCTCATATTTAGGGTGAGAATAGAAGCCTCTTGTTTTTTGATGATGTGCCCAAAATATTAAGGGGTAGAAATGAACTGACACTTTTTTACTTGTTTAGAAGTCTTGTTAGAAGTTACTTGTTAGAAGACCAGTCGACACGGAAATTGGCATAAGGTTAAGTTAAGGTTAAGGTCAGGGCAGACGCCGAGCATTTCAATGACCATAAGATAATATTTTTGGTATAAGATGGACCACAACTCTTGTGTGAAAAAAAAACACAAAAAATTACCGAATTAGACCAAAATGGGTTTGGACCTAAGTGGGTTTTTCAAAACTTGGAAGGTATTAATGACAAAATTCTACTCATAAATTGCCAATTAATGCGTTATACACATCTTACCTGTGAAAGTCACGATATTTGGAATGTTTTTCTTAAATATCCCATTATTTGGCCAATAAATTGAAGAGCTGTTGGGACTGTTAATGGTAAGGACTTTAGCAAGCCCATAGCCTTTGCTTGCTTGTTAACGTTATAACACAATGATTTGATTAAAACTGAAGCTAAAACCTGATTACACTATAGGTGAAAAGCCCAACACACATAGGTTTCAGAAATGTCAATAATTCACCGGCTATTTTCTTGATTCTTGTCCCGTTTTTTTCATATACATATTTTAAAATTTTATTGAGTAAAAATTATCCTCGCAAAAATTATTAAAAATAGAGAGAAATTTTGGAATTGCTCCCAGTGACCTACAATTATAAGGTATTTTATTTTGAGGTCGTAACCACGTTTTTCAAGGCTTTGACAGTTGTTCCCAATTTTGAGAGAGAATTATTTAGAGTTTCACTTGATATTTGAGTTTACTTTGTTTTTGGTGATTATAAAATTGTTATGTTATGAGGTAGTCAGGGATACGTTCAAAATATTTAGTAAATGATATAAACCAAAAACTGAGTTTTTTCTTATTTTGCAGTCGCTTTACAGATAAAAATTTTATAGACGGGACAGGACTGAGCAGGAACCAATCTAGTAAAATAATAACTAATTTTGTAAAATAATAACATTGTGAATTGTAAAATTTGAAGAGAATCAGACCCTTATGTCACATTTTTTTAAAAATTATTCAAAAATTTGACCCTTTGTGGGGGAGGCGTAGGCGGATGTATTCCATCTCCATACTAGAACTTGTGTTAATTGAAATATAAGAATGTGCCACATTTTAAAAGAATCGGATGCTCATTTCGCCTTTTTTGAGCGTCACTGTTGTTCAAAATGTTGACCCGTTATGGGGGAGGTACCAGGAGAATGGTCCATTCTATTTTGTGTTGGTAAAAGAATTGGGATGTGTTAAAATTTGAAGACCATGAAACACTTGTCTCACATTTTATAAGAGAGAAGAGTATTAAAAATGTTGACCCTTTGTGTGAAGGTATCTAAAAGAGTGAACCTTTAGATCCCATTCCCTCATTACATATTATGTTAATTAACATATTAAGATGTGAGAAATTAATAGACAATCAGACTCTTAGCTCACATTTTATAAAAATTATAATTATTATTATTTTGATAATTTGTGGACGAGGTACTTGACTAGGTGGGCTGATATTGCCAATTTTCCCACTAGTAAATATATTAGGATTTGCAAAGTTTGAACAAAATTGGATGATTTTTTTGGTCTATAGTGGGGTAGATACCAGAAGGAGTGGACGGATATTGCCCATCTCCGGACTCGATCCAGCCGGACAGACGGACGGACATCGCTAGATCGAATCCAAATGTCCTGAAACGGATTTTGTCTAAAGAGATCTAGGGTCTAAAACCGTTATTGCGATGAGGGGGAATATAAAAATTAATATCCATGTAATACATGATATGTCCTTCTAGCGAACATAGTCCTTTAACAACATTTTAGGATTTAGTTCTATGAGGATTATTCGTAGGGAGGAATGTAACAATTTCAATATCATAGTATCATTGAAATTGGAAATGATTCTTAAAATCGTTCATACCTGTATTTCAATTTCTTGAGGGATTCACTCATTCTAGTCTAGTGTTGAAATGCAACACATTTTCGGCTCGCTAAGTTTTAGCAAACATTTGTGTCAATTTTTGAATAATATTCAATTAAAAGTTTTAATTTATTTTTTCTACATATTTTTCCTTCAATAATTTTAAATTCAACTTATATTTTAGCCCTCTTTGCCCTTATATAATTTATAGCACTTAAGGATTAATTTTGTGTGCAAAATCTTACTTGAAATTTACAATAAATTACTCTGTACGAAAACTTTTGATCAAATGTAGTGGTGTAGGGTGTCACAATGTCACATGAACCCCAGCACTTTTTTAAGAAAATAAAAACCTTCCTGGTAAACATTTTTTATATCCCTGCTCTACTGACCTTGTTTTCCAAAAATTTTGATTTACTTCCTTTTTTCAAGATTTAATTTAGTAATAATGTCTATCTTTCAAATTCCTGTTTCTTCATTGAGATATTTTGTTTAGTTATGCCCACGCCATATTCTACACCGGTTTCTATATGTAAACTATTTAAATCGAGAATTTATTTCCCTGAGATTATGTTTATATTCATGGCAACTGACATAAAGAACACACAGTGTCAATTCAATATCGACTGGTATTTAGATACTTAAATGAATATTTTCTTCTGCGGGCATTCTAATTTTATAATCTATATAAGTTTACATGTATGTGTATGATATTATCATCAGTAGTACAATGAATCATACTGTTCGATATAAGTATATTCTTGATTTTTTAACTGCATAGCTTGTCTAGATTTGTCTTCTAGAACACAAGTATTGAAAACTAAATTTCAAATAGAAATTATTTCCCCATAAAATTACTCCTTAACTATTTTGCCAAATTTAGGGGCAACAACTGGTCGAATTATTTCTCAATTTTATTTTTAAATTTTCCAAAAAATACCTTTTTTGGTGAAATTGTTTGTTACACGTTTCTGTTGAGTTTTTTATTCGTTATATATTTACCTTTGGGATAACAAATCATAAACTTTATGATTTGTGGCCGAAATTCTTAGTAGGATCCTTCAGTTTAGCTCAGTTGCTGGTTTACTTCTTGTTGGCTTGCTTGCCTGTCGTTTACACATTCACACACAAGAGACACACACACACACATTTACAAACACTTTTTGCTTAGTTTTCAACTACAAATCAAACTTTGGTATGATGTTTGTTGCCTGGCTAGCTGGCTGGATGCTGCTGCTGCTGCTATGAAAGTTGTTATATTTTTTTTCTGGTTTAGATGAAACCAGAGAATAAGTTTTCCCCACTTGATTCCGACAAGAATTTTCTGAGGAAAATTTATGGGTTTTTATGTTATGACTTTTTGGTGATTTTTTATTTTTGCTCCTGGTTCTTGCAATACTTGTTGTTTGGCAAGCTGTGGGAGGAATGAATGAATGTCTTCTAAGCCAAGGCAATGGGACTCAAACTGGAAATATTTGTTTCACAACGATTTCAACACAACAAAACAATGCACAATCACAATATTTATTTTTTCAATATTTTTTTCTTTGGAATTTCAGATTAAAAAATTTTTTTGGTCTGATGATTTTTGTTATTTTTATAAAAAAAGCTGTGTTACTTAAATCCCGGTTTCTTGAAAATGCGAGATAACACGATGCTGGCATACGACAAAAACGAGAACATAAACAAAGAGCTGCAACGATTGCTTTGCAAATTTAACACCCAACACTTGTCGTCTTTGGTGGTGATAACACGAGCAATTATCAAGCGATTCGAAAAATCATGTATAATTTATTCACTGGTTTTTTATTTGAACTGCAAATTATTATTTTGAATTTCTTTTATTTTGACACTTGGCAGTTTTCGACATTGAAATGCCCAAAACACTTATCGGTATAATTTTCCTGCTTTGTTTTCCAAAAAAATATTTTCGGTCGGCAAAAATGTGCGTCGGTAGAAATTCTTCTACTCCGTGTCGGGTATTACATCTATTCGTTTAGACATTATCATTATAACTGAAAATTGTAAAGTAACTTCGTCGTGTATCTCTATTTTTTACGGCTCACAACACGTTTCGTGTCTTGTTTTCTCAGTTTTGTTCAGCTGAGTCCTTTATCTACATTGGTGGTTTTATCTTCTAAAACGACAGAGGCTGCTGGTTGTCGTAAACAATGTCTTCTCACTGGCCAGCAGATGTGATGCTAGCAAAAAGGAAAACAGGACACGAGAATCGTGTTTTAGTATTTGTTTTAGAACCGTTAAGGAATTTATCCTAAACTCTCCCAACATATTTATCTCTGTCTCTCACTAGCCCCGCTTCTCTTTGGGTCATTGACAACATTACTTTTTATTTTAGATACATTTCTAAACATAGGTCGGCCGTGTGAGCTTCGAAAGTCTAACGGTACAATTGACATTCATGCTCTCTAGATGTTTTTAGTACTCATATCTCGCTCCCACCAAAAAACAAACACTACCAAAGAGAAAGTGAGCGCGAGAGAGGGAGTACAATAAATCCTAGAAAGCCGGAGTGAGAACCAAATTATTATTTCTCGTGAGCAAGGATATAACTGCCGTTTAGTTGTGTATATTGTGGGGGTGTGTCCACTTGTGTAATGAAACATTTCACCCAATTAGGAACATGCGAGAATGTGAAACAGAAAACATTGATGGGGGAGACAGAGTACAACAAGGAAATTGTTATGTTGTCGAATGAAACACTTTCCAATGTTTGCATTTGATGTGAACAGCAGTTTAACAGAGGTTTAGCATTTGCTGAATATTATTATAGCATCTATATGGGACTATAAAAATGTTAAAGTGATTTAACATCGGTTATGGTATATTAGCATTTAATGGTGCCAACAGACATATAAATAACGTGTGTTGTATATCAATTTGTGTTTGTTGAAAATATGGAACCTCTATAAGAAAAAATATTAAAGAATATATTTTCCACTTCTTCATATAATTTATTTCACTTGAGTGATATTACAATACCTGTGAAAAGGTGAAACAAAAAAAACCTGAAGGGAAAAGTCAGAAGTCCGGTGGGGCCGACTATTTGATACCCTACACCACTATGCATATTTAGCAGAGCTCCCGTAACAAAAGAATTTATTGCAAGTAGATCATACCACCTAATGACATTTGGCTTTAGAGCAGTTATAGTTTGCTGTAGAGTGCATTATATCACTTGGAAAGGGTTATATTAAATAGATACATATCTATATATATATTTTTTTTTTTTCTTTGCACGAGGATCTGTCTTGGTGCGTATGCTTGTGATTAAGTTGGATTTTTGACAATTTGTATTATATTACGTATTGGACAAATAAGCTATAATTCTGAAATTTGGAATGAGAATCGCATTTCGAGTGCGGGATAGATCTTCCAAAGGGTACGAAAAGTTCTACAATTTGCTAAAAATTAAATACATTGTACTGGGCAAAATGAATTAGCTGGAATTATTAAATTTGGCATGGGAGTCACTGATGGAGTGCAGGATAGATGCATCAAAGGGTTTGGGAAATTCGAACTTTAAGGTAACAAAAGGCTCTAAAATTGTACTAAATTAAATTTCTAAAATGGTACTCATTGCTACTATGTGGACGGAAAGAGAAAAACTTAAAATTTGTTATGAGAACTAAGGCTGGAAAGTAGATTTGTTATCTGAAGGTGGTTTTGAAAACGCGTCCTTAGAGTTTAAATTGCACTAAATTTGGAACAGTTTGATTAGGGTCAACGTATTGAATTTGGAAGTTTCGATATTGGGGTCCCTGTTGGTTGAAGGTTTGTGATAAAAAGATGGGTTTTACTACAAGTGCACGAAAAGTACTAAACAGTACTATTCAAGAGTTCAAGAGTGTCCTGGACATATGAAGATGGTTTGGGAAATGTGTATTATAATTGTACAAAGGGTACAATTTCCAAAAATTGAGTGATAGTTTAAATAACGATAGATATATTACTGATGATTGAAAGAGTCGTTCGATGTTGGCCATCTTTGCTCTATTTAAAGTTTATTTAAAAGTTTGAATAAAATCTCAAATTAATTGTCTACTTTATATGGTAATATCAATATTTATCCTTTTCCATTTTCCAAATATCTTGCCTTCGCTCGTTGTGAGATATGCAATTTTTATAATTTTGCCAAATGTTACCATTTTTAGGGGCACCATAAGGCAAGGAGTGTACCGATATAAGCCATTTCCGAACTTGATCTCGATTGTAGGGAATCCGCGAATTATCGTGCGCATTTTCGCTAATGATATGTACTTTCTTCATGCATACGGCTGAGGTTATAGAAATGTTAAACATTTTATAATCCCAGTTAACATTTTATAATCCCATTCCCCGTCGTTCTTTGGAATTTTACATTACTAAACGGTAATTAAGCATACTTTCAAGACTTGGGTTTATAAAGTTCAATTAGCACAAGAAATCAAATCGGCCTATTGTTAACACCATCGCTCCTTGCAGATTGGGTCCTTGAAATGAATGAAAACTATCAGGAATTACCTCGGCTGCTTCCTTAACTAATGGCTGAGGTTATCAAGAAATTTTGTATCCACCATTGTATTGGGTAATACATAATTCGTAAAGATAATACTGCCCTCTAATAGTGCCTATGGCGGCCAATTAGGTTTTATTGCTTTCATTGTTAACAGCATTCCCTCATTTATTCTGCATATAATATTTTCTTCTTAATACCTAAATAAAATCTGTTATTGGAAAACATTTTATAATTTGTCTGGAAAAATTATACGGTACTTAGACACCTACTATTTGAACATATTTGCAAAATGCCGAATATGGGGTGGGATCGCCAAATTAGAGCTATATCCAAAAGTGGATTTATATTTAGAACCCAAAAATTGCATAGCATTTGATTAAAAAAATTCTGAAATCTTCATTATACTAAATACCACATATTTGAATATAAATGTTTATAAGTGAAGAAATGAAGAACGGCAGCAGCGATTTTGGCAATTCATAAAAATTGGAAATGGTCCCTTTGGGAAAGAAGGAATTTCAAATCGGCAGGTTATATGAGAGTCATACAGTACTGAACCAGTATTAAATCAGATTATATGAGAACTATACTTAAACAAGGACTAATATTTACTTTTTATACCCTCACCATACTAAGGACGATACATAAAATTTGCCAATCACATTGTAACTTCTCGAAATATAGTTCTCTTATAGCCCCAATATAGGAGGATATAGGAGGCTCCGTATATGGGAGGTCCTCTTGGCATGCTCATTTGGACGATGAACTTTGACAATTGCAGGAGAAATAGAAAATGAATATTCTTTGAAAGAATTTGTTACTGCTCCTAAAAAACACGTTTTAATTTTATCTCATGAAACTGAGAAAAGTACTGTATCTAAAAATAAGTACTGCATGATAAAAATTAATGTTTGAAGATTATTTCAGGCAAATGTTGACCGCGACAAATGGTCCATCTACTTAGTCTCACTTTGCTTCAATGTTGTCTTCTACTACGTCAAGCGGGTTTGTCTATATAGATATAAACTGTAAATTAAATCGCACGATCTAGGCGGCCAATTGACCGTTGCCGAACGGGAAATAAAATGTTCTCCGCACTCGCCTCTCATAAGGCACTGTTATGTGTGCTGTGTGTCATTGGCACAGTTCTGTATGAAATGACATCAACATCTATTCAAATCCCAAACCGAACTTTGAATACCCTCCACAATTTGGAACGAATTTTCCAATCTTCAAAAACAATAAAATTTGTTAACAATTCTGTTAAAATCTTCAAAATACTGAATGTAGCTGTTATATTAGGGTTTGTACGACGACATGGACTTGCATAGTTAACTTTTATAATAAGCCATTACAATATTCAAATGAAAAACTTAAAAAAATCGGTGAGTAATGTAGCGAAAATCAACAAAATACCGAATATCGGGTGGTACTGACAATTTTCTGTCTTAGGCTGTAGTACCCATTACGAACTTCAAATACAAATTTTGTAACAATTCCTGTGAATAATGTCGCTAAAATCATCAAAATACCGAATATCGGGAGGTTCCGTTATATGGGGGCTGTACCAAAACGTGGACCTACATGGCCCTTTTCAATACCAAAAGTCCTGCAGACAACATAGATTTGAGTAAAAAGGAGTGAATTCCACAGACGAATAGACGGACTGACATCGTTAAATGGAAATAGAATTTTATGCTGATCAAGAATATATATACTTTGTGAGGTCTAAAATGTGTATTTCGAGGTGTTACAAACGGAATGACAAACTTAATATACCCTACATACTATAATGGAGGGTATAAAAACAATATTAATAACATCAATAAAATGTGGCATAGTGTTTAATGGGAGTTATACGAAGACGTGAACCTGCATAAGTAATTTTGTGACATATACTGTAGTACCGAATCCGAACTTCGAATACGAAATTTGAAACAATTCCGGTGAATAATGTCGCTAAAATCATCAAAATACCGAATAATCGGAAATATCGTTATATGGG